TACTACTACTACTACTACTACTACTACTACTACTACTACTACTACTACTACTACTACTACTACTACTACTACTACTACTACTACTTTTACTACTACTACTACTACTACTACTACTACTAGTACGGTGGTGGCCGTTGTGTTGAATGGTGCTGGTGGTGATTCCTCAGGGTCCAACAGTGAAGTTTTCTTGCACAACAAGAAGAATGCACCAAGGAAGAATGCAAAGTTGATAGAGGTAGTGACCAAACCAAGCACCAGAGCTCAACAAGATGTCATTGCATTGGTGAAATATTCAAGCCAGCACTTGATTAGAGCTGGTGGAGAAAGGCAAATCGATGCTATGATTTTGGAATGGGTTATGAGTTTCAAAAATAAGAACGCAGCTAAGAGAAAATCTAAAATCTTGCAGTCTTGTGACGCTTCATTGGGTCGTAGGAACTCCGGCTTGTCGCCGGAAACTTTGACGCGTGCGGTGCTGTATTACTTCTTACAGTACGTACTGGTACCCTACATAATTCAGGACCAATACGTAACGTTTAAACACCAAATTTTTTCTGCACTAGTCACGAATGTGACTCCGAGCCATGGCTGAAAAAAATAGGGTAAGACGATCTGACTTGGACGACTCACTCACTCGCTCAAAAAAAGTTCGTGCGTAAAAGCCTCGAAATGCCCGTCACGTTCCTCGCGTTCTCCAAACGCCGGAAATTCCTTCGACTGAGTCAGAAAAGAACTGCGCGCTGTCCGCCTTCCCGTGCCATTTTGTCATGGTTGCAACGTCGAGGCCCATTCATTTTGTTTCGGAACGCGCATGGGGAGCTGGCGCGGGGTGCTGGTAGGAGTCGAACAAAAAAGCATTCTGGTTTTTACTGTGGAAGCAGGTTTCTCGAAAGAATGATTGAATCTCTCTCCGCTGCATTTTCCATCGATGAACCTGAGCCTGTTGCCCACAAATTGGAAGATTCTCTGAGTAGCCATTTCGTACAACATCCATAGAACGTCGCCAGAATCGAAGACATATTTAATCACCATTCAAGAAAAACAACAACAATAGGAAGGAGAAATAATGACGTCTTCCACAATGACGAACGAAACGACGACGATACAACGTAATCCGCTTGTTTTGAATGAGACGATAATACCGAGGTTGTGGAGCGACGATCTCCACAGCAAATTGTTTGCTTCCACCTACGCCTCCAGCATCACCAAAATCATTTCTGTGGTGCCGCCTACTGTCATCGATGCTGGCAATGCCACGATACGAAGCCGACCGGTTGCCAGGAGAGCTACCTCATGTCAAGCTACTGCCGGAACCACGAACAACAGCATTAGCAGCACGCACCTTGGATCCAAGCTTGCCGGAGACATGTTGGTAGCTGCAACCGTTACCTTTGGTGTTTCCCCATTTTTGACGGTAGTGGACAAAGCTATTGTCGAATCGACGGCCGGTACAAATTCTATTCTTCAATCATCTATCAACTCTCTCCGCTCCATGGCCCGAAATCCCGTCGAGTACGTTCGATCTCCTACCTTTTTGCTTATGTGGGGGGTATACAGTGCAACCTACACCACGGCCAATGCCTTCAAGACGCTCGAAGAGCACGCAACTTATAGCCGGGATCGATCTTCGTCTTCTAACACAACCCAAAAGAGTTCCGGAATGTTCCAGATGGGTGCGTTTTTGGGAACGACTGTCGTCAACAGCGGGGCGAGCATGCTCAAGGACCGGGCCTATGCACGCATGTTTTCGGGGACCACTTCTTCGACCTCGTTTCCAAAGGCGTCCTACGCGTTGTGGGCAATGCGAGATTTGAGTGTCATCAGTTCCTCCTTTTTGCTCCCCGACCTGGTATCGGCCAAGCTCGTAGAGCACTCGAACGGTGAAATCGACCGGGAGCGTGCCCTTTCGTTCTGTCAGATCGGGCTCCCGGTTCTGGCCCAGTTTGTGGCCGGGCCCTTTCAATACCTCGGGCTCGACGTGTACAACCGCAACCTGGGCCACATGACGACACCACAAGCGATCGTGGACCGAAGCAGGCAGCTCACCAGGGGAGTTGCACCGGTGATCGCTGCCCGGGTGGCTCGCATCATTCCGGGCTACAGCATCGGGGGGGTGGCCAATACCAAGCTGAGAACCGCATGGAGGAAGAAGCTCCTCGAAAGGGACGTGGCCGCCATGATGAAATCGTCGGCCGCCAATGGAAGGCAGAGCGGGGGCTCGAACGAATATGCGACGCGTATGGTCGCCTTGCTCCACGGCAGCAACCAAGGGGAAACGAAGAAACGCAGCTAAAGCAAACAATACCGGAAAATTAAAGATGTATCCCGTGAATGGATCTCAATAGAATCGCTAGATAAATAAACACCAATAGAGCCGAACACAAAAACAATGACACTTGTTTTTCACAATACTGTAGAAATCTGAGGTGAAACAGTTCTGAAGTTTGAAGGTACGGTACAAGGCGGTAGGAGTGGATCAGGATGACAAGCGACCATTTTTACTATCGACTATTATCTGATGGCAAAGAAAAGTTATTACAACTATGAGTAGCTCATTGGTTTACTATCATGAAGCTTTCAAGTTTACTTGGCATTTTCTAGATCGACAGAATTGCTCATCATGCTCAGATCGTCGAGTTGAATCGCTGCGGCCACTTGGCCATTCCCAACAATTGAGCTACTTCGTCGACGGTCGGGTCGGATCGGTGTGTTGTCGCTGGTAGAGGTGGTAAGTGGAGGCGTCTCAATCAGTTCATTATCCTTGGTATTACCTTCCACCGCAGCTACAGCACTGCTGGATGAGTGATTGTCCGGCTCGATGTCGAACGTGATTTCCGATCCGTCCAGTTTTGATCCAGGAACATCGGCGGACCATCGATTCTCGCCGCCTTCATGGATCACCTTTGGCTTTGCCTCACCAACCAATGAACGAAAGGAAGACTCCCCCMAGATATCTGAATATGAATCGCACGATGCATTCTGCGATGTCAAATCTTTCAAAGATCGCCCTCGAAGCAAGCTAGAATCATGGACTTTAGTCTGCGAGATTGGTTTCAGGAGGCTGGCCATTTCTCGCAAGACACCCTCTAGCGTCAACGCGTATCGAGTCGTTTGCCGATGCTTGCTGCAAATGGCATAATGTAGATGAGAATCCTTGATTATGTATCCGATTCCGTAACCATCGGGTACCACCGGACCGAAGCCAAATTGCGCCAAGCTGGGATTGCCACAATTACTCGTCGACAATATAGTGTGGTTGAGCTTTCTCCAGGCCTCGGAACGGAAAAATTCTGGAACGGGCAGCTCGTGCTTGTTGGCAATGCACTTCAGAGCAAACAAATGGCGATCTACCCCCTTTCCTTGTGCGCATTCCTTGACTAACTTTGAATGCACTTGCGTTGCTTGGCGTAACGCAATTAGCTTTTCCTCAGATGTACTGGAAGAACTACAGAACACCTCGCAAAGCTGCTTGGCTTCCATCGTTGCCGGTCTCATGGCCTCCGTTCTGCCGTGGTAAAATCCTTTGGTCAAAACTGGTTCGTAGGCACACACAATTTTCCCATACAGTCTATAATATGCCAGCATCATGCTCATTTGCACATACGAATCTGGAGAAAGTTTGTTAAAGGTAATGAAAAGTTTTCCATAATCCGAGAATTCCAAAATATGTGTATCACTGGCCAAAATCTGATCACCGAGGGCAGTTTCCGCGAAATAGATCTTTCTCTTTATCGAGTCCGACAAATGGAAGCTGATTTTCTTTGGGAAAACTGCAAGAGGTGTTAGAAAATGATCAACATCTTATTGAATACTAACAGGTCGACAAAAATAGCAAAACACCGCATCATGGGGTCACGTCAAATCGAATTAGAGAAAGTCGAAGCAAAACACCTACCATCTAGCTTTGGTCGTCCACGGTTGTCTAGTGTGACCGCTGCCCTTCTGACATTTGCTGTAATAATGTCGGGTATTAATCCCTTATGAGCATGCACCAGTTTGGTGATGGATTGTGCGAAGGAAGTGACGGTATCAGCATAAATGTCTGAAACGAATCTCAGGGCAGTATGGCCGTCGATGGCCGAATGTTCGAAATTGATTCCAGCACCCCCATCAGCGGTGACTATAATCTTTTGCAAAAAGTTAAACAATAGATTCATTCGAATCGTCTGTTAGCAACGACTTCCGATATTTTGACGTTAATGGTGCGGTTTGGTTCGGGTACTTACTTGTAGTTTGTCGTACCACCGATTGGTACAGGACCCGACTTGGTATTCAGTGGTGTAAGCGTCATTCTCGGTCCGCCATTCCGACAGCTCGTAGGACCCGTGAAGCATATTTGATGCGGCTTCGTGCTTATCTTTKGGAGCGCAATCGTCCAAGACCAACACAAAGAGGGCCGAATCGACAATCTTAAAGCTGTTCGCGTTTTTGGTGGGAGAATCCTTGATCATTTCCTCCCGTGCCTGAGCCCATTGCTTTCTACAAAGGCTTGTCAAGACACCAAATGCCGATACGCTATTCAAATAATGCTGCTCACCTTCTTTCATTTCCTCCAAGTCAGCGTCATGGCCTTTCTTTTTGTTGATTTCTGAACTTTTGCGCCTGTTGCCGACGTATTGGACCTCTTTTTTGTCGCTATCGGTCTCCATTCGGTGCGCGTGAACCCATATGGCATCCAATATATCCACTAAATCCCCCTCGTCGACGGCAACATCCCCGTCAGGCCAAAGGGCCTGAAAGTAGAACAACTGGTTGCAACACATAACGGCTACGTGATTGGAGTTCTCATAGACTGCAATTGTGTCACTCGAATGGGATTTCGGCACCCTCGATGCACCAAAAAGTGCTCGGAATTGATCTACCCATTGAAGTGGTTCGAGCAGTAGCAACAACATGGTAACATTTAAAAAACAAAGTTGAGCAATAAAACAATGCATAATACGGCATTTAATGCATACCACTTACCCATGCACAGGGCTCTGCCCTTGAAGGTGTCGGGTTTCAGGTTTTCGTGTCGAAGCTGGCTGGCCATCTTGACCGAGGCGAAGCAGAGATTGGCAGCTCGCTGGATCTGGTTGCCAGCCAGTTTTGGATCGGGAGATTCTTCCAGCAAAAAGTAGGGATTCAGATTTAGCACCACGCTGGCATCTGGCGCAAGGTAGGCCTCGCTCCAGAATTCTTCCACGTACGAGCCAATCGCCCCCGTGGCTCTGCCCGTTCGGTCGTATTCCAGGAGAAGTTTCTGAAGCTCCGGTCCCTGCTGCGACAAAAACTCCTTGATCACTTCTTTGGTGTCGCGGTACTCTCCTGAATCGTCTTGCAATGCTTCTAGATGCAGCAACAATTTGTTCATGGTTTCTTCCAAGTTGGGGATAGGCAAGCTCGGAAGCTCGCCCTGGGCACCATATGTCAGGCTGTCGGTGTCAACACTGACGCTGATGCTACTTCCATCTTGCTTGAAGGAATGGAGAATGTTTCCGGTACTGCTACCGAGCATGATGGAAGACTCGAAGGTCAGATTCGATACGTGTCCGGCCCCAGATGGTTTGACGAACGACGGTAAATCCTTCAACTGTTCCTGCTGTTCTGTTTTTTTTGTCGTCATTGATTTCCTTTGGCAGATTTTGGGGGAGAAAGCTGTTCAAAATGGTAAGTTGCCGGTTACAAAACGCGACCGAAATGATTATTCTCCCTATTTTTTAGGGTGTTGTTCGTCGTTGTCGCCAGAAGGTGTTAGTTTTCGAATACCTTCGTTTTCAGTAGCCGCTGTTTACACCAACACAGCCCTTGCAGTACGTCCGACATAGCAGCAATGCGCTAGATTACCTTCCACTCGGCGAATACACTCTTCCTTGCTTCACTTACTCTTTTGGTTTGTTCTGATGTTTCTTTTTACGGCACAATCCCATTAATACTAATTCAAACTCAGTCAAAGTCTTACCGTACTTTCTTAGCTTCGACAGAACATGATCTCAGTATTCGGAAAAATTAGATATATGTTTCCGTATTTAAATTTTCTATTTTTAGGGCCGTCCTTGTACGATTCTACAGAACCGATTCCATAATGACATAAAAACTTCTTCTCCTCGTTTGTTTGTAACAGTACTCGTACCCGTAGAATGTACAACTTCAATAAGTATCAACGTAGATTTTAACGCAATTCTAGGAGGAAGCGGAGAATGATGGTTTGGTACGTTGGGCAGTCGTTGATGTTCAGGGGCTATTTCATGCAGAATATCATCGTCGGATTTATGAGATGTCTCAGAACCAAAGGAGGAAACAGATGAAATGGTAAGGAGGACTACCGAAGTCCTTCCAAGAAATGAATCACGAATCAATGAGTCTTGTGTTTTGGTGAGGGGTAGGCGTTTGGCACGGGCCTGGCGAGTGGCGAGTGACGAACAAATCAAAATCATCTTCGTTTCGTGACAGCACATCAACAGTTCAATCCTTGCAACGTACTACAGTACGAGTGAGAGCTTTGTTTTCGCGTCTTTTTTTGTCTTTCGTGCGATTTTCTGGACGGCACCAACACGTTGTTGTAAATCTACGTACGATACCCGAGACTCCCGTCCCGTTTAACAACACCAACCCGGACCAACCTTGTGCTGTTGGAACACCACTTTAGATATCCGAGGCCAAAATAGTGCAGTAGCAAGGAAGAGCTGTTCCTAAAGTCGGAGCGACAAATCGGGATCAGGTTTGTCAGTCGGTCAGTCGGAGCATGAAGGGGTTCGTGTCGTAATAAAATCGGGCGTGATAGAACAAAGAATTATACTTTCCTTGCTTGCTTTCCGCAAGCACAGCGAAGATAGACAACCTGTGACAGACATTCTCCCGCGCGCACAATGAGATCTGTCCTGTATATGCGTTCTCGGGGACGGAGTTCTGGGTCCGTGACAGTGCTCAGTTTGCTCGTCGGATACTGTGTCTTCCACCACATTTTCTTTCGGCTGTCGGTGGAATCTTTTGTCCCATCTTCGTCGTTGCCATCGTCATTATCAGTTTCACAGTCGATGACAATCACTATTTCCGGCTGTCGTACTAAAATGCGAAAGCCGATCTTGAACACTGGATATCATTCATTGAAATCTCGGGATCTGCGATGTGCTTCGTCCCACATGCGATCTACAAGAGATTCTGAATCAGAGGAAGAGTGTTCCATACAGGAATGTCCTTGCGAAGAAAACCCTAATGAACTTACTAAACCGACAACAATTGTGCCTCAATTACTTTCGAGAAGAACGTCATTGGCAGCGATGACGGCATCGGCTGTTGCGGTCCTAGCGTCGGCATCCTCTCCTGCACTGGCGAGTGTTGCTGAGATCGACAAATCCACGGGATCCCTTTACACTCCTAAGAAAGAAATGCTTGCAGGAGGCTCTGCGGCAGCAAGGGGCATCCGAATCGAGGCTAGCAGAGACAACAACATCAAACTTAAGTCAGGGCAGCAAATCCAGACCGTGTACGAAACAAGGTTCATTGCATACTTATCGCGATTTTTGATTAATTTTGACGATGCCGCGAACGGTTTTTGGATAAGCCAGACGCAGGAACAAGGAGGAACAAACTCGGCTGATTCATCTTTGGCAGATCTAAAGTTTGCGGAATTTTCGGAATCTGTTGAAATTGGTCTGGCCGACTACTTCGTTGGTCCATACGGAAGTTATTCGTCCCTCAGCGCCATGAAAGCCGGTATTAACGCAAAATATCAAGCCAAATCAAAACGTTATAGTGAAGGTGGCGAAGATGGAAACGCAGGAAGTGGTATTCTTCGCCAAATAGCTGGTGGTCTACTATCGCGGAACAAACCGGTGGACAAAACACTGGCACGCAAGAAGACGGCGGACCGCGACCGATTTGCCAAGCAGGGCGTACTGAATTTGTACACCTTGCTGAAGGCACGCTACACGACCAAAACCGCTAAGCGCCAGCTGACCATTCTCTTTTCGTTCATTTCCAATCCGGCCACTCAACCCACGGCCGAAATACGTAGTCTGCTGGGAGAAATCGATGACGCATCTATCAACAAGATCGAGATCACCCGGCCCTTTGCTCGGAACGAGGTGACATCGCGAACCAGCTGCAAACGAGGCGGTGGCTACTCTATAGGTGAGCCACCTGCCATCGAGATCGAGCCCCCACCGGCGCTCGGCTCTGCGTACAAATGCGCCAAGGCCCGGCCGATCATGAAAACGACATCGCGGGTCCTTCGGATCAACGTCGTCGACGGAGGACAGGGCTACTGGAAGACCCCGGAGGTCTACGTCTCGCTGCCGGGAGCCGGTGGAGCTTCTTCGCGGCAGTGCGTTGCGCAAGCCATTATCGATCGAGAGGGTCACGTGGAGAGCATTGTGGTCCTGGATCCTGGACACGGCTACGGGAGGAGCAAAAACAAGACACCTCCAAAGGTTATCATCAAGCCGCCCGAGTCCCGGGGTATTGCCCAAAGCAGGGGCAATCGACCAGCCCTGGCGAAAGCAGAACTAGAATATGAGATTGTTGAAATCGAGATTGTAGAGAAAGGTAATGGCTACGTTGGAACGGAGCCTCCTCTAGTGACCATCACACCACCGGAAGAAGAACCCGACTGGTACGTAGATGTTGCCGAGTTGGCCGTTCTGGCCGATTCCTCCTCGAACCGACAATCTTTTGGGGCCTCCGTAGTAGAAATGCGGGGTCCCAAAGGAAACCTTGCATACTCTCCAGGTGGAATTCGGGCAGTCCCTCCCAAGTTTCCGCTCCGACGCGTTCGCGAGGACCCTATTGAGCTCCTCCCATCGGTCATACGCCCCGAGTACAATAGCTACGGAACTTATGTGATCCCGTCTGTTGCGGCGGTGCGAACATACGAAAAAATCCTGGACAATCCTCGATTCCGGGCTGTCGACCCCCTGTTTGGTGCGATTGGTGCTTTGCCGGCACAAAAAAGTGCAATGGAACTAAAACCGAACGAGTATGCCCGGCTGGCCCTGAGCGGTGCAGTTTGTACCGTCCTGGTTCGCACCGCTCTGAACCCGCTGGAATTGATCAAAACGAAACTACAACTTGAAAACGATGAGGAATTGTTAGCGTTTGCCCGTCAGTCTCTGGATAATTCCCCGGGCACAGGAATCGACCAAGAAGGAGTTTCAAAAATTTCCCCTGCGTCGTCGTACAGAATCAATGAAAATAAGTTTGTGCCACCTGGAAATTTAGCGATTGAAGCAAGCCCGACGACAACGACTACTCTGGCAATTGATGAAATAGCAGCAGTAGCACCTGCCAAAATCAGCCCACAGGATCTCATAGGCAAACTGATAGAACTCAGAGGTTTTCCAGCGATCTTCCAGAGTGCGGATATCACGCTGTTAGCCAGCCTGGTGTTTGGTTCCCTTGGATTTGGAGCCACCGAATTGTTCCGGCGATCCTTTACCGAGTATTTTTTTAATGGAGAAGGGGGAACTGGAGGAAATGAGGTAGTATTATTGCTGGCGGCGACCGTTGCAACGATCATAACGTGTGCCGCTGCGGCACCCTTCGAGCTCCTCCGCGTGAGAAGTATGGGCCTCGTAGAGTCTCAAGAATGGGTCCAAGTAATGAAAGATTTTCTCAAGGAAAAATCACAAACAGAAGAGAAGACGAACGGTGAATTACAGTCGGCTTCCACTGACTTTCAAGAGATCGGAGAACACGGCATTTTGGATCTAAGGGCCTTGAAATTCAAGGATTACCTGCCCCTTTGGGCCGGTTTTGGTCCGACGACATCGCGGGAACTTGCCTTCGCAATTCCAAAGTTTTTGGCTTTTGACATCATTGCCAAAGCACTCACCGGGCTCATCAATTCGCAACTGGGAGAGGGCGCACTCCCGATCCAGGTCGGGATCGGTACCGAAGGGCTGGCAATATCCGCCTTTTCGGGAGCCTGTGCCGGTATCGCCGGTGCTTTTGTAAGCCATCCGGCCGATCTCATTCTAACCCGTCTTTCTGCATCCAAGCCGGTGGCCTCTACCGACGACGTTTCTGCCTCAAATGGATCGAAAGAAAACAAGTCGGAGGCCACAGAACTAAACTGGAAGGAGATTGTCAAGGAACTGCTTGCTAAGGAAGGCGGTGTTGCCAACCTCTATGTTGGTCTAGCACCGAGGCTGGTGTTTTTCTTTCTGGTAATCGGGCTCCAGTTTTTTCTCTACGATTACGTAAAAAATATTCTMGAGGTCGGTTCAGACGATTTAAGTCTCGTGCTTGACGTCTTTTACGCAGTCCGCCAGGGGTTGAGTTGATCGAGCAATCCTCGCATACAATTGTTCCGTAATAGTGGCATTGTTGCTATCAATGATCGCCACGCGACGGCAATTCCACCGGCTAGAACTGCAAGAGATTACTCATGATTCTATAGTCGGAATCATTACTTACAGAAGCAGGCGTTACCACCAGACGGGCAAAAGCAGACTTAATTCTCCAATTGGATACCAAAACTGACAACTACGGTCTTTCACCTGTCTGCGCTGCACGTAGTAATCAATACATATGTGGTTGAAAATCAATACATGAAATGGCCCCAGTGCATACTACTAGTAACGATAGTTAGCTGGCAAAGAAAGTTGTAGTTGGTCCAGAAGGTTGTGGAAATGAAGCAATCGCAGATTTCATAATTTTCTAAAGATTGACGATAACAACTAAAAAAGAAAAATTCTCAATTCTGAACATCAATAACAAAACCCATATCTGCAAGCATGTCGAATGCATGAAATTTTGTTTAGCTGCGAGCGTCAATAAAAATTTGAGAAAGTCTTGCAGGGATGAACTGCCTTGACTTTATGCAGAGTTGCACTGCGGATAGTTTAAAGAAAGTATTACTGTAAGTCATTTGCAGTAAACAGAAATTGATTCCATCCAATATCATGTTGTGACTTCCATTCATGAGTCTTCCACCTAAGGAATAAAATAATACTGTAGTGAATGATCGTTTTTGTCGACTCGCACTATGTGATACTGTATAATGCTACTTAATCTAGAAGTGCGAGTAGTACGTACTGTAACTCGTATTATCGTATGACGAGACCTGTCAACAAAAAGAAGTTAATTTTTTTTTAAAATTGAGTTTCATCCATAGCAAATGCTTCGTACCAGTCCTACCTAGTATCGTCGTTGCTCTACAGTGAATGCACCCTCGAGTCGTACTCAAAACGAAAAAAAAGGATGCTCAGAATGATCGATAAAGTCCATTCAACGCGAGACGTCAACCTCCAAGCGCAATTCGAAAAGAACATCGAGTAGTTCTCCATCCAACTAATTCGTCGTCAACGCTCGCATTGGGAGTACTAGCACACGCAAGCAAGTGGCTTGCCCATTCACTTGAGCCATGGCCACTCTTTCGCAGGTGTACACCAACGTTGGAGTGGGGGCCGTAGTCTCTGCCGTATGCTACCTTGGATTCGGCACCGCTGTTCTGACGGAACAGAATTGGAACCTGACCCCAAGGGCCTGGGCTCGCCMGGTCGAGGTGATCCGAAACTGCCTCTCACCACCCTACTCTCTGAGCTGGATTTACTGGGCGATGTCTCTGCGGTATATCGATCTGTTGGACGGCATCCCGGGTACAGGAACGAGAATGAAGGGCTGGTCAGGGCCACCATTGAAGACCAATCTGGACGGAATCGTGCTCTTGCGCTATCATGCACTGCAATTTAAGGTGGGCCAAAAACTGGATGGAATTGCGCTGCGGACGAAATAGAATCGAATCGAATCGAATCGAATGGGTGGTACATCCTTGACCAATCCGTTTTTCCTAACGCCTTTCCTATTCGGTCTGCTTGGTTCTCTAACAGGTCTCCGCATTTGCAACCATCCTCTGTATGACGCTGTTGCTCCCCTTGTATTACACATCGCAATGCGATCCTCTGAGATACGGATATGCGTTTTGCGAGGAGCACGGAATGCATACGGATTTCGAACAATTGACCATCGTAAATTTATTACCGTTAGTCAGGTCGGAAATATTTTATTCGAACGGTACCGTTGTCGACTACTCTTATGGGAATAGAACATACAACACGAACAGTTCATTCTTTAGACCATATTACAATGAAAGTCTCAGTGGCGTCGATGTCATCAGATCGAGTAAAATTAAATGGTCACCAGGCATCACGGGTGAGTAGCCTTGACGCGTTCTACGTCGAATTGCATGCTTATTTTCATCTTGAAGTCCGTGGCCATTGTTTCGACTCAACAGTACATCCCATTGACGCTGATCAATTGACTCTGACTCGTTTTCTGATTGTCAAAGAGCGATATTTGGCAGTTGTCTTAGTCACTGCATTGGTTTCCATGTATACATGCTGTACGTAAAATCTTCTGTTGTGATTGATATTCATAGTGCTATTTTTTCTTCCCAGATATCAAGATGTTAACCTCCCCCTTCCGTTCTCCGGTAGATTTGTTGTGGCACGAGTGGGTTCAGTGCCTTGCCTTGCGACGAGTATACTACCTAGAATCCGAACATTACGAAGAACGGCTAGATGAATTAGATGACGTTCGCACAAACAGCGATCCAGAGAATCCTTTCCAAAAAGTCAGGCCTCCTTTCTTACCGCACCCAGAACTGAGGGAAACGGTTCCGAATATTTCTCTGTATTCGGCCCTGTACAAGCTGCCCGAAAATCTTGAATTGAAGGCCGATCCTTCGTGCGAGAAATCGTTGGTGGAACTACAACTGGAGGCTGCGGTCGAGTTCCTTGACCAGTGCGTTCCAAATCAACCGGGATACACATCTTCGATCGCAGCTATTACTATGCTCCCCGATGCCAAAAAGCTGACCAAGGTGTGGGGAAAGTGGTACGCTTGTGGGAACAAAATGCGGTACTTGCGGTACGTCAAGGCCCAACTGGAACGACGTCGCGAAATGAAGAAGGCCGGTCAGCTGGGATTGCATGATATTCTTGTTGCCGCACCAGCCACGATGGCCAAAGCCACTGTGAAAGCAACTGCAGAAACATTCGATGTTGTGAAAGATAAAGCGGTCGAAGGGATGTCGACAATTAAAAAATACACGACTGAGAAGATCGGTGAGGGTATTTTAGCAGTCAAGGGACTGGGAAATCAGGACGAAAGTATCGATGAAAAGGAAACTGATTTAGGGGACACTGAAGTGTTTGTGAGTTGTCGGGAACACGCACAAAGTTCACAGATCGAAATTATGATTAAAGACATAGATGACGTCTTTGTAAGCTGCAAAGCAACCAATTCATGCGATTCAGAGTATCACCGAAATGAGGAGGATAAAGTCATAGGCAATGACGTAAAGAATGAAGAGAAAACGAACAATGATTCCAACGCCAATACTGTCCTCTTAGATATAGAAAAAGGAAACTCAGTTAGAAGTGCTAGTCAACAATCTCCAGGGGATTCTGCTAACACACAAAGTCACGACCTAGAGCTAGGTGATGCTACTAGAAGCGAAAGAGTTGCGACGAAGTCTGCGTTTGATGTCGTCAGCGGGGAAATGAATGCCGACGATAAAGGTAAGGAAGAAGGCAAAAGTTTTTCCTCCTCCAAGCTTGCAAAAACGATCGTTCCTGGATTCAACCAGGAATCGGTCGGAGGTCATTTTGAATACGACGAATTCGATCCGGTAACGTTTGCAAAGTGGTTGGGTTATAGTGAAGAGACAGAATTAGAACAAGTCATCGACACGCTTGATATAGAGCAGCTCAGTGTATATGCAAGAGAAATGTCGCAATCTGCATCAAACTGCTGTGTCTATGGATGTACTCCTAAAACATTGAGTTTTTTAAGCATAGAACAGCTGGAGGTTTTGGTTGAAGATACATGGACATCAGCACATGAGGCCAATGCTATGCTGCTTTTAGCACGAGCTAATATGTTCAAGGAGCATCAAAAAAGAGAAGCGGAAATCAATACGAAGATCGAAGTAGCAACGAGTAAAAAGGATGACGCTACAAACGACGAGAAATCCCAATCAGTAAAGAAGACGCAATCTGAAGATGCTTCAACTTCAAGATTCAGTCGGAAACGTCCAGCCAGTAGCAATCTAGACTTGTCCTCTTCGAAAGACGAAAGAACCGCAAGTGCCAACCCAAGTGATCTTCCTTCGAATCTCGACCATAATGTCTTAAAAATGTCTGGGTTGCGGCAAAGAGGCAAACGTGCCGGTAGAACTCAATCAACACGTGCCAAATATAACGTCGCGCAAAAACTAGTAACAGAAATCAATGATATATCTACACCGATGCGTGAAGATGCAGAAGATGAAATAGGTCATGGTGCAAAAAAAGGAGTTCTTGATCATCCAGACTACTGTGTGGTAACATTTACTTCGCGACAAGCGGCCATTGCTGGAAGACAATGCCTTATCGATGGGAAAGGCACCAGGGCTTGGGCGCAAGTCCATAGTATTCCCATGCACCCATTAGCGGATGCACCACCGAGAACTCCTTGCTTTTGTCGTGGATGCTGGTGAGTTTGCGTTCTACCGTTTTATTTTGGGTCTGGATTTCGGTCGAAAGTCAGAAACTTACTATTTTCTTCACAAATATAGCCGCCCAGTTACATTGACAATCTCAAACAAAGAAAAGCGTTCAAGAACTACATTGTAAGTATATCTACATGAGTTCAAATCAGCCGTGTTCTCCTATGAGATAGGTCTAACTGGTATTCCTTCTCGCTCTCGCTCTCGCTCTCGCTCTCGCTCTCGCTCTCTTCGAACAGCACATGGACGTTTTACGTTTTGTGGTGCATGGTTTATACGATACCGCTTACGTAAGTTATTCGGATAGTTATCTGGATCATCAAAAATTCAAACCATGCCTCTTCTCAACCCAACTACTTTTCTGTAGTATGGTATCCCAACTCTTGAACCCAACTTTACTTGCTGAAGTCTTTCCCGACGTTGAGGTACTACAAAATCCTGATACATTTTTCTTTAAGGCGCTTGCTGGTATCTCCACCGGTTATATCTATACTTTGTTCTTCTCTATATTACCACAGATTTTCAAACTGCTTGCCTTTTCCGAGGGATCTTCCAGTAGTAAGCCACAAGCTGAAGAATATGCTATGCGATTTTACTGGTATTTTATGTTAGTAACGGCGTTCACGGGACAATCACTCGTCCAAATGCTCCTTGATGGCATTCTCCAAGGTGCGTAACTCTCGGCATGGTAACATTTGTTGACTACAGGAATGTCTGTGTCACATACGCAAGGTATTTCCATGGTGACTTCGGTATAACAGAGTATCCATTTTGGTCTGGTTCCTCTTCTTTTGATCCAGGTAACGTCGGTAAAGAATTCAAGGAAATTCTTTCTTCGGTAGCAGCATCAATCGCAACTTCTGTAAGTTAGTCAGAAATTATTGCCTTTCTTGCAGAATGGTCTACCTAATATTATTGTTTTTTTTTTCTCGTGATACATTTACAGCAAGCTCCAACGTGGCTCAATTGGATTATCGTTCGCACAGGAACCACTTTGCCAATGGTGTACCTACTGCAATTCAACACTTTTCTTTACGGGTGCTTCAGAATTCCATGGCTCAATCGCGTCATGCGAGGAGGAGGGTGAGACTTTCCAAGCAACTTAGTTGGAGCCGTTCTGGATCACCGACTCACCACTTACATTCCACTCCTTTCTTCGACTCTATTTCTTCCTTTACCCAACTTAGACCCGGAGGCCCACCTCCGTATCGAATCTATATTGATTCTGGTGTGGTCTTTATGTGTCTCACATCATTAGCCCCAGCATGCCCTATCATTGCCCCATTCTGTTTGCTGTATTACGCCGTGTTCATTCCAATCCTTCGTTGGCTCCATGTTTTCGTATATCGACCCTTCTACGACGGTGGTGGTAACCGAATGCCTGTGATCCATGAGATCATCATCTCTTCGTTAATTCTTAGCCAGCTTTTGCTAGGTACTGTGTTGCTTCTGAAACAGTCCTTTATCTTTGGAATTACCACGACAATTATGACCTTCCCGACTCTTCTCTTTAGCGAACTGACGAAAGAAAAATTCCAAAGGGCTTACAACGATGCTGGTCTATGGCAAACCAGCAAGCTGGACGGATTGACAAACAAGGAAACCATAAAAGGCAGAGAAAAATATCGGCGGTGGCTCGTCGATGTCCATAAGGCAAGTTATGTCCCCATTTGTCTGTCGGGAGGCGAGGACTTTTTGACGAGTCAGCCGGCTGTGGTAGTTCCAATCGAACGCGAACTCAAGGCAGAGGGAGGGAGAAGATCTATTGATCGACAGCCAACTCAAAAGGGTGCTATATTTCGAAGGTACGATTTGGAGTCGTAACTTTTCAAGTAATTTCAAAATTGTAAAATGTAGTGGATTAATAATAATAGGTTGTAACAGGTACGTACTCGCCGAGTACATGAGAAAATAGAACTAAAATATCAAACTTAGTAGTATGTTTATTGCACATTACGCACAAAGCTGCATCAAAATTGAACACAGGTGATGAGCAGAAGTAGAAGTACTCGCTGACACTTGAGTAGGTGCTTTGCAGCAAAAACAAACGCGATGAAGGTTATTTTCATCAATCCATGACTAAGCAATTCAAAGTGCAGCCATTTGCCAGCTATCATTGCTTCATAGTGTGTTACTAGTATTGATAGTGAGGCAATTTCAATAATCCAAATGGAAGGAGCATGTGCTTTGTTTTTATGCAAGAAGGAGGACAAGCAGTAACGTACAAATAAGATGAAGACTCGTATGAACTGTCTAGGTAGATTAGAAGATATGATGAGAGTGAAACGATGACGAGATACAGTACAATAAATGTTCGGGATCGTGTGACGTATTTTTTGTTTCTCGCAACCTTTTTGGATTTTGGATTTTTAACACTATCCCGAATTTAGTCTGCGTTGACACATGCCTTGCGATGCGGACAAGTCGTGGCTTTCAATATCCTACGGTATCACCAGCAACTAGCTACAAGATGCAACCTGCAAGCTCTACGACAATGACGACGATCCTTTTCGTGTCCCTCCTATTCGTCTGGCCAGGAGTCAATGCCTTCCTCCCTCCCTCGTCGATCACCTCGTCGCAGTCTGCTCCGTTGCGACTGATCCGAGGGAACAATTGTCCGGTAGCAACGATAGGTGCCGTCAAAATCGATGCAAACTCGATGACAAGCACAGCTCTCGCGGCAAACAGAGATGGCAAAAGCGACAAGAAAAAGCCTTCGAAAGCACAGGGTGTCTATGTCCGACCTTCGGGTGCGATTGAGCAGGGATCGGGCTTTTTTGTACCGGGATTGGAAGGGCCCAAGGTGCGATTGGTGATCGGTTTGGTCTTGCTCGCAGCGACTGGGATCAACCATTTTGTGTTGGGAACGTACACCGGAGAAGAAGGCATCTCCTTTTCGGAAGGAACGGCAATAGTCTACAGCGTGCTGCTCTTGTTTCAGTTTGCCATCGAATACGCGAAGGAAGCCTTTCTTCCACCACCACAATCGAGCGTATCCTCCTCTAGTGCTACAAGGAAAAAGATCCAAGACTCTCTCAGCGCAGTAGCGGCAGCCTCGGAAGTTCTGGAACAGAAATGGTCCGGAATTTTGGCTCTGGACGACGGCCAGGAAGAGAAATATCGTTCCAGGGTCCAATGGGCGGCCGCATCCTACCTGGCCATGACTCCGACGACCCAGATCATGCTCTTGGCTTCCAGCGGCGAAGACAACAGAGGAGATATTCGGTATCGACTGGGAGGCAAAGAAGCCAATCAAGCGGACGATGGCACCACCATTGATTTCGGCGTAAAAGCTGCTTTGGACGAACTGCGTGGCTCAAAGGGCGGGAGGATTGCCTTGCCACTGAACCACCCAGCCGTGGAAGCATTGTTGCCGATGGCGTCTCTGCCTGCCGACTCAGAATCAACAAGTGCGGATGGAGAGGACCTCCGCCCTTTGCGAACAGTCATTTTGCAGCGCATCGCGGATGATTCGTGCTGGATGGCATCCTCCGACCAATTGCTTGCTGGATACACGTCGGGAGATCTGAAATGGTTGGGGCAGATGGCGGAATACGTCGGCGATAGACACTGAGAAGTCGGAAAAAGCTTGGCAATTGCTACTTGTCACCACAATTACAAGTTTAATTAACAGTCTATACAAACTGACTGCTAGTAAAAGCTACCACTTTAAGAATAATTTCATAGTCCGCAGCGTCTTTTGGCTGCTACTACATGAAAGGAAAACGTGATCAAAAAGAAATTCCGTCCCTTTTGAATTACACAACGTTTGTAGATCCCGATCATTCGTAATGATCTCAAAAGTTCCGAAAGTGACGTACGATTCCTGTTGCCCTCAGACAAGGATTTTGACTTTGCGCGTATCAGAAGTAGAAAATGCCATGTCTTTTCATGCACGCATGGATCGTGTTGAACTTCTCCATTGTATCCATTATTCTATATCCTGGACTGTCATGGCGAATCCATGTTGTCTACAAAGATTTTGCAAGCCCAAAAGCAGACAGTGTAAGAATATGCCGTGGCTATCGAGAATGAAAAGCGGATTTATAAAACGATACAACAAGATCTATATCCTCCTTCAAAAAAATAAAGATGAGAAAATACTTACGAAGGAGTCAAAATAGCACTTTCTGGTTCCAACCCCAAAATTGTGGGGACCGGACTCGTGGGGCTTCTTGCCCTAGCACCAACACCCACTGCGCTGCTCAGACCTTCTTCGTCTGGGATATGCAAAGGAGACGTAAACGCTTCGGAGGGCGGTTCGATGCTAGGAATGTAGTGAGGGGAACTTTGCGCAAGAGGAGGGGAACAAATAGGTACGACGTGAGCGACAAATACGAAAAGCAAGTTCCAAAATTGCAGCTTGTTTTTGTACGCACCTTTCGCCTGGACAATCATTGTAGCCTGGACTTAACTGTTCTTCACTGCTGTAATCGTGGACGTCCCGGTCACTCACAAAGCCGTCGGTCGCGAAGGAATAATCACGAATGCTGTCGTCTGAGAGAGCGGAAATCCGCCTGCCGTATGATCCTGCTTGCCGCCCGGGTGTTGGACGCTGAAAGTGTAGCGAAGGCTGGTTCGAGTTGAGGTGATCACCCGAATAACGCCGGGCTACGTCGTGCGTACTAATTGTTGAGGCGAAGGACGACGAGGCAGGCCCAAAGGTACTCCTCGGTGGAATGGGTGGCAGAACAGGAGGCACACCATGATTACTGACACTTCTATCGGTTGCCGAAGACATGATTGATCTTTCGGAGGTGCTTCGATTCGAAAGTGGAACTTGTTTGGGAACTCTAAAGGAGGAGATACTGGAGTTGAAATCATTCTGCTGGGGGCTATCATCGGGACTATTGTCGCTGCTGGCCCTGCTGTTGTTGCCGCTTCCACTGTGGCGACTCGTATTGGCCAGTGGGCCTTCTTCGTCCGTAGAACCTAGATTCGCCCGTTTCGAAGCATTTTTGTAGATGTATGCCCTGCGAAGATGTGCCGGTGCTGATCGCGTCGATGTGGTGTCGTCGTAAACGCTTCCGTCGCTCTCGCCTCCGTGCGCCTGGCCGCCGTTTTTCGAAAGCGGCACCATCCATTTCATTCCAAACGCCGATGTCCGCTCGGAAACCTGGGCAGGCTTTCCCTCTAGGGACGAATGGATCGAGACGTCGACCGCGTTCCCATCGACGTGACGGCCGTCGTTCTTGTGGGATCGATCCCACAACAAAAACGTAACAATAACGACAGCACCCATCACAATGGATGCCGAAATTGCGATTGTTTGGTTTACGGTGAGCCCGTTGACACTCGGCGTCATTGCCGATGGTCCGTCTCGCTCTCCGGGATCGACGGCTTCGACGATGATCCAGGTCGTCCAATTCAGCGCTCTGGCCAAATCGACAGAGTAATCGAATGAATCCGTCGAGAAGGGGTAGATAAACAAGTTATCCATATCGGCCAATTCCTGCTCGGCGAGTGTATCATTGGGTGTCGCGGAGATGGTTTGATTGTAGGTAATCTTGAGCGTAATCGTATCGTTGTAGGCAATCGGTGCTGTGGTTGGCGTTGATTGGTTTTCCGTGATTGTTTGTCCGCTGCCATCTGTCTCGGGTCCCTTGGATTCGTCGACGGTTTCTTGCTTCACAAGAGTCGTGTTGACATCTATCGTAGAAAAAGCCCAGTGGGTTGCGAATTCATCCGAGACGGTTTTGTAGAAGTTCTCGACGTGGTTCGAGGTCACCTCTTGCCAGATTTCTGGTTCGTTGCCGGTGAGATTGTGTGGCACGTTTTTCAGTATCATGGTGATGTTTGTTTCCACAATCACGTCGACGCGCTCAGTGGGTGCCATTGTGGGTTCTATGCGTTCGGACGGAGCGTTGCTAATGGATGGTTCGTGCGAAATGGTGGGCAGGAAAGAGGGTGCCATAGACCGTGAAGGCTGCAGGGAGGGTGCAAAGGAGGGTGGTCCCGTCGGTGCAGACGTGGGGGTTCGGGACGGATAATTGGTCGGAGAATGCGAGATCGTGGGAGCGAACGATATCGTTGGTAGATAGGTCGATGGCGCTGCGGATGGCTCGCTTTCTGCCATAGGCAGGGTAGGACTGTGAGAGACCGACGGATTTGGAGTAGGAGCCAGGGTAATTAGTTCATCAACTATGATAGTCGGTGGGTCGGTGGCGTTTTGGCTCGGTGGAGCCGTACCGTTTGTATTCAAGACATTTATGTTGACAGGAACCCCGGCCGGATCGCTGTCGTTGCCATCCGTTGCGTCTAATACATCCTGAAGAACTCTCGTTCCCCGCACCCGTTGTCCCCGAAACCACTTGTGAACGCGCAAAAGGGAATGCATGTTTTCCTCTAGATACTTCTGGGCCGGCAACACGTTGCCGTCGCTGCTGCGGTTTGAGGTCAGAAGGATGATCGTGGTTGTAGCGCTCCCGGTTAGAAGCAGTGCCAAAGCAGCAACGAATAGGAAGATGGATCGCGTCTCGCCCGTGTGGCTTCGCTTTCTCGCGGAAAAATCGATCGGGGAGCCAAATCTCGCTGTGTTATCGTCTCGACCATCCCCCATGGTACCCACCATCGAAAGAGGTGGGTTCGTCGAAGATCCCTGATTTGCTGGAACGGATGCGAGAGATGGATCTTCCGCTACTCGGTTGTAGCATTCATCGTCACAGCTACAACTTCCTCGTAACTCGAGGATGGAATCCTTTGACTCCTTCCTCTGCTCCAATCCGTGGCTGTAGCCGTTTGTCATCTTGGGTTGCGGGTTTTACCTGTTCACTGGGGGGCAGGGGGGTATGGTGCTGTTCCAGGTGCGGTGCACCTCTGTCGTCGAACGATATGAAAGATACTACGCAAGTAGCAGAGTGCACCGGAGAGAGGTATGATTTGAATATGTTTTTCAGCACGAGTACGTAGTACTTCGTAGGTTGGTAAGTAGTACTGTACGATACCGTACGGACTGTTTTTGTCAACGGGCGGAGGATCCGAAATGCGAACGTGCCGTTTCTGTTCGTCAACGAGTAAGGTACGGGTAGTACAGTACAGCTAGCCAGTGCGAGAATAACGCGGTACGTATTTTTGTCCTACCGGTCGGATTTTGGGTTCTATTTTTATGATTCTTTGCGTAATTTTCAATGACTTTTTTGGTACGATAATCTACGGTACGTAAATACGTACTGTACAACGATATTGCGTTCACAAAATTAAGAACAAATCGGTGTGGCGTTTGTGCTACAATACGACAGTGGAAACAAACATCCAAAAGAGTACCTAAATACCGCTAGGTCGTTGGTAGTGGTAAAACGCAGACCAAACTAATGGTAGAGCTGCAGACAGTGTCGTGCGAGACGACTTGTACCGGTAGGGTGGCAAACATTCCTGGGAAGACCTAACCGTGTTGTTTCGTCCGTGTGTAACAGATGATGTAAATGATAATGGTAGTTATATGTGTATAATAGGAATACTGTGCGTGTTTTTTGTATGCAGAGAGAAACCGGTCGGTGTATAGTTGTGGTTTTGTGTGGTGCGGTGCTGTGCTGTGCACCTATCGTGTGATGTGGTATGGACGTATCGTCGTGGATAGTGTAGAGTAGTGTGGTGTGGTGCCGGCTCGCCCACAGACAGACACCTCTGCGGGACTACTACTACGCCTCGGCCTGGTAGTCCACGATCGACTCGTCTTCCTGGAGCTGCCGGATGGCCTCAAAATCGTCGTGGTTCGCGAGCTCCTCGTCCTGGGAGGTCCCGATGGGGATCGGCGCGTTTGCGGCCGCCTGCATGGGCCCCACGGGGTAGCCCCCCTGGGCCGGCCCCAGGCTGGGGGCGTACCCGTCCAGAGAGTACCCGTAGGAATCCATGCTGGACATGCTGGCGGCGTCGTTAAAGTCCCTGGCGCCGCTCCGGCCGCTGTTCTTGCTCCCGCTGCCACCGCCGTAGCCCATCCCCGATTTGTAGTAGGCCGTGAGACTGGAGGAAATGTCGGAGGAGACCACCGAGTCGTTGGGCTGGAGGATTGGGTAGGAGTCGTTGGTGGCGTTTCCGGCCGTGTCGTCGTCGTCCGTCTCGTTGTCGCTGATGTCGACGCTGACGCCCCGGCCGCCGGTTGTGTCCCCGATGACCATTCCCCCGCGGCTGGGCGAGGAGGCCGGTTCGGGGGACTCTCGATTCTTCTTGGAAAAGATCCCCCGGCTTCCGCGGGTCTGCGGTGGGGGCTGCTCGCGCTCTCGCTGCTGCTGCTTGGCGGTTTGCTGCGTGCTTTTCTTCCCGCCGCGCCTGCCTCCCTTCCCGCCGGCAGCGGGCGCCGCGGCGGCTGCCTCCGCGTCGTCGTCGCGGACGCTGTCGTAGGCGTTCTTTTTCTTGGTGCGCTTCCTGCCGCCCGAGGCCGACGACGACTTGCTGCTTCCCCGGTCGTTTCGGTCGGCCCTCCAGGCCCAGACGACGGCGAAAATAAGGAGCGCAAACGCCAGACAGGCCACGACGATGGCGACGATGATGATGATCTCCAGGTTGTTGTTTTGGTCCGCGCCGCTATCGCCTGCCTGGGCCTGGGTTCCCGCCGAATCGGTGGGTTGGGCGTCGCTGCCTCCGCCGCTGCCGTCGAGAATCGATCCCGGCGGCGTGATGTAGGCCCGGACGTCGAGGATGGTGATCGACTCGGTGGTTTCGAGGCCCAGGTCGTAGAGGAGGCTCGCAATGGCCGCCTGCAGGTCGTCCCGGAGGCGCTTGTCCTCCAGAAAGGTCGCCCGCTGGATGAGCTCGACGTTCTCGGCCTCCATCGGGGCGGTGCCGGTCCCCGTTCGCTCCCAGAGCGAGACACCCTCGAAGGAGACCTGCACCAGGCTGAGTTCCTGGCCGTCGATGGTCCCGGTGGATGCCGAGTCGCCGACCATCTCGAGGGCGATCGAGTCAAAGCTGGTCGCGTTTCCTATCCCCAGGAGCTCCCCGGCGGCCCCCGTCGACTTGCTGGCAAAAGAGGAAACCAGCCAGTCCGTGATCGTGTCCGTCAGGAGCGTCCGGGCGCCTCCCTCGTACAGGATCTCCGAGACCAATTCGGCTTCCTCCCCGGTCGTCTCGTCGCGAATGGCGATCTGGATCTGGAAGGGGACCAGCCGCAGCAGATCGGTCCGGACCACGGGGGGGGCAGCGTCCTGCTCCTGCTGGAGGGATCGGAGGAACCGTCGGGAAAGGGCAGGGGCGGAGGCGGAAGCAGAAGCCGAAGCCGAAGCAGCCACCAGGAACCGCAGCAGCGACCACGACAGGGCGTAGCGAAAGACGGACAGGGCCCTCATCGTAACCGGACTGTGTTTGGCGTTGGTGCAAACTTGTTTGTTTCGGGTTGGGATGGAATTTGGATTCGTTTGGTCGTGTGAAGAGTGTTCCGTCGATTCGTGTTGTGTTGCGTTGAGTTGCGTTGCGTTGCGTTAGAGCTAGCAATCTCTCTTCTTCGCGTTGCTAGTCGTTGCTAGTGGAGCTATTGTTCCTTGCGGTAGAACGACAATGCGATGGAAACAAATGAAGAAGCGGCACTTGTGTTCGTACTCGTACTCGTACTCGTACTCGTACTCGTACTCGTTCTCGTACTCGTTCTCGTACCAAGTGCTGTATTGTATGGAGGAAAAAGTCCTCCTTGACGTCTAGAACAACTTTTTCAAAAAAGTCTTTTCCTTTCAATTTGGAGGGGGGTTTTGGTTTTTTGGAGTGACAAACGCTCGTCTGTCTCGCTTCATTCGATTCGTACATCCTGTTCAAATTTTTGGTTCACATCGCACGCCCGCCCGCAGATCTTCGTAGCATCATCGTCAGTAACATACCGTACAGTACGGTATTGTACGCACGGTACGATAATTTGGGATGCAGAATGCGGAAGGAAGCGTGTGTTTCGCGTCTTTCATAGTATGTACGGTACAGCATTGTACTGTGGGATTCCGTACGGAGTGGACAATCCCGTACGTACCTACCGTCCGGCTGCGAGCATGCTCTCCGCCTCCCCGGATCGCGTGTGCACAACCCGCTCGGAGTATCGAAATAATTGCCCGCGCGCCCGTCGACAAAGAGTGTTCCCCGAATCGTGTACGGCACGAGCGGGATCCATCCATTCGATTTTGAGCACTGGGCCCTCCGGAACCAACACGCGCGCGTCCCCCCTTTGAAATCTAATATCGGGGGCATGATTTCATGGGGTTTTTTTCAAATAAAATAACCCACGTTTAGAAACGTGGCTTATTTTTCACAAAAAATAACCCATGATTCTAAAACCTGGGTTATTTTTCACAAAAAATAACCCATGTTTTAAAACGTGGGTTCCTGGTATCCTGGGTTAATCCACGAATAACCCACGAATAACCCACGAATAACCCACGAAATTGCAAATAACCCATGAATAGTAGTAACCCACGAAGAAAAACCCACAAACCTGCTGGGCCTTTTTCCAAAAATTAAAAACAGTGATTAAATAACGTCAATGACTCAAATACTTAACATCCTTGGTTCTCCATCAACCCAGATGACTGTAAATTCGTGGGTTATTCGTGGGTTCTTTCGTGGGTTATTTGTGGGTTCTTCCTGGGTTCTTTTGTGGGTTATTTTTCAAATAAAAAAACAAGTTTTAGAAACGTGGGTTATTCTTCCCATGAAATAACCCATGATTCTAAAACGTGGGTTATTTTTCACCAAAAACAACCCACGTTTTCCTAGGGGAAGAATTCAAAAAGGGGGATGTGCGCGTGGGTACGGGAGGGCCCTGGGAACAAATCTCAATCAATGCACCCACAAACCAATTCTGCTGTTGGCACCATTTTCTTCTTCATCATCATCTTCTTGCTCCCTCAAAATGAGACACAAGTTCTTGTTGTTGTACCACCAGGAAACAAGGATAGCTTTCAAATGGGATGAATCAAACTTTTGATGGATAGACTGCAAGGAATGCTTGCTCTATGCCAGTCTTTTTGGGAATTTTCTTGGAATAAAATAGTTTGTACTACCTAGTAGTACTAGTAATGAGGACTAAAAAAGGAGGGTCCTCTGTCTTCTTCTTCTTCTTCTTGTTACTACAACTAGTAGTAGCAGTACTACTAGTAGGAGATCCTACCATGTGTTGTTTTGTTGCTTATAGATTTAGCACTTTTTGAATGGGGATCTTTGGCCCATTCAAAAAATGATCTATCTATAACCACATGTAATAAAATTTTGGTCTGTCAGCAGTCTACCAAATTTAGCATTTCTATCATACTAGTACTAATGAGTGATTCCCGTTATTATAGAATCGTAAATGTGCTAAATCTAGGAGTTTGGCACTTCTGTAATAACGGGAATCAAAAAATCAACGGACAGACTGAGAGC